CTGAGTTACGCAAGCCCCTTCGCCACGACAAGGCAGTGATCCATGAAGGGGGCTACCTGTGTACTGTATGTTAAAAAAACTTCTTACACTCTTTGAGCTGGTAAGGATGCTACTCAAAGATATTGATAAAATTTCCATACATTTTGGACGAGAGTCCTCCAATTATGGAATCTAAATAAAAGGTGATGTGAAACTCTCTCTCCCCTAGGCATTAGCTCATTCAGTGCTGAAATGACAATGCAGGGGAAAAATAAAATTTATGAAGGTAGGGCTGTAAAGATTCACTCATTTATAATTTAAAGGTCAAACTCTAACAGATGGGAAGAGCTACCATAATTGGAATGAGAAGAAGAATGAAAGGGAATATTGTCCATTATTTACAAAGTCCTATCAACTCAAACTGTCCAACTCACCTTCGTTGAACTTTTTAACCTATCCAATTGAATCCTTTGGAAATGTTACCCCACATTGAAACAAGTGGGGAAAATGGCACCCAAAGAGTCTACTGGGGGCTACAATTGCATGTCAGAGCCTTCTCTATCTACAGAGTAGCAGGAATGACTAAATATTGATATATTGGTCCCATATCTTGGCTACAGTGAACTTTCAGTTTTTCCAGCATCTGATCTTTTGGGAGCTGGGGCTTTCCTGAAATCCAGATTCATAGCACTTAGGACATCTTTTTTCCAAAATTCTTCCCACTCTCACAGCTATGATGATTGGTTGATTTATTGAAGGAGGAAAACTTAGTAGGTCATTAATGTATAATGAGGAGAGATTCTAATGATGCACGCATAGGACTTATTTAGGTCAGCACAAGAATTAAATTCTGATTTCTCAGATTTGGATTTTGAGGCTGGAAATGGGGAAAAATAAAACAATACTATCTTCCTGTCTCATCCAAATGGCACAACAAAAACATTAGATACAATCCTTACCAAAACAGATCTGGATTAATGGAAATAGACTCACAGATATCTTGGCTAAACAAGTAGTTTTATTGCAGGCAGAATAACACCATACAGGAGTGATGATTTTTACAATGTAGGACATAAAATTAAAAGCCTTATATAGGTGCATGCTTAACATATAAGGTTTTTCCTCCAACATTTCTGACTCAATAGAGATTAGAAATAATTTTAGGGGCTTTTGAGGCACTGGATCTATGAATTTACAATAGTACTATCTTCAAGCTGCCTTAAAAGGCTCAATTCCTTAAAATATTGGGGGGGAAATTGAATATGCTGGGCAGTATATATTAGAAAAATTACATTATTCAGCAGAGATAACAAAT